TTGTGTTGGATGTTCTGTGCATTACCAACGTGTCCTGCATGGAGCGCAGCTCCCGGAGGTTCCTGCATTTGCATCTCTAGCAAGCCGCCGTATGGTTGCATGTTGTGTTGGATGTTCTGTGCATTACCAACGTGACTTGCATGGAGCGCAGCTCCTCGAGGTCCCTGCATACCCAGCTGTTGGAAGTTATGGCATTGTTCGAAGTTTCCTATGGCGCTTGAGCCATATTCGGCATTCTCTGGCCGGACTTGGTTCCCCTGCTGAATCGGCATTGCAGCCATGAACGGAGGATTCTCAAATCCCAGGTCGACAGGCCATTCCGTCGCACCATCTGACTCGGATTCAGAGATGTCGTTGTCTGGATTATGTTGGAGACCTAAGTTGTCATTGGCCCCAAGTCCCTGTTGCTCAGCTAAAGCCATCCTATTGTCTTCTGGTACGACAGTTGCTTGCTGGTGGGTCTGAGTGTTTGCATTTTCTAAGCCGGCCTGTACCTGGCTGTCATCGAATTCGGCCATTAGGTGGTCCAGTTCAGGGTTGGCTGGCCATTCTTCGTCTTGGAGAAGCTCATTGTTGGTAGGTTGCGGGTTATCCAAGACTGTCGTGAGTTGTAGCCAGGTGTCGCGGTCAACCACTTGTTCTCCTGCCCTGTTCGGTGGACCTTGTTGGCCTGATGGATCCATTTGGCTTTGTCGGCTCCAATCCTGTGACGAGGAGGGTCAGATCAAAGATCGGTTGTACCTAGAATCACTGGTATCGGCAAACCCTTTGTCGTGACTTGCTAAAGCCTCGTGAGCATAGTTGATCATGGCTGTCCAAGCAAGATCGACTTACCGAGAAATATCTGCACAGATGTCTCTGCCGATAACAGTTCCCTATGTCGCCCCGACAGTTCAGTGCTAGGATCTTTATGAGCGCGATATCTTTGTGAGCGCGGTAGATCGGTCTCATTCAAGGGGTCATGGATCTACCGGTCGAAGTGTGCCGATATCACCTGTTCTTTGGGACCTTCTGAGTTCCTGTGTGAGTCCTCTGCCTCCCAGCCCTGAGAGAATGCCAGATCGGTCTTGTTGAGACGAAGTGGATTTGCTCAAGAAAGATCAAAGCACATAACTCTGAGTCGACACACTCTTGGGTGTTCTTCTTGAAAGCTCAAGGACTGTTAATGATTGTTGGTCGTGAAAAAATATTCTTCAAGAGCTTGAAGTTGTCGTTGTGGTTGTTGAAGAGTTGGTTAGGTGGAAGAGTCGTGATGAGGTGGGTGATGGAAAGAGTGAGAGGATCTCAAGTCTAGAGAATATTTAAGGGAGGGTGCAACGGCTTCACGATCTCGGAAACACCTACGGCTTGCTCGCGCGCAGCTGAAGTGTCAAGACACTATTGTGGTCGTTGACAATGGCATGTGGTTCTGGATATGAATGGTTAAGGAAGAATATCACCTGGTCACGAATCGATATCAAAAGCTATTCTACCAACCGAACAGTATCACTCGGGTCGAGAGTGATACAGTCGTTCATGTGCTCGAGAAAACCAACGTTTGAAGGCATTGTGGCTACAACAAGATCATGGATCTATGTTCGGTAAGAAGGACCACTATACAGCCCACCATTGAGGTGTTCAACTCGGCCTTGTCCCCTTTCTGAATCTAGCCAGCGCTGCGTTCATGAATTCAATTACCAGCTCATTGAAACAGCCTTGTACACCTACAATAGCCCCTTCAGTGGGCTTAGCGCAGGTATTGTTCCCATGGACGAGGTTCAAACAGACCATTGTTCCTATGTCACAGGGCATCTGTGCTGCTTGAAGTCCACAAGGCTGCGTTTGGCAGGGGTATGAATCAGTCTTGGCAGCAGTGATACTCCACAATCGACGAACAAGGCTATTGATCTCCTCGAACAATCATTGGCTAGCTTGACACCGGAGATGCCGGCTATTGTGTTGGATGGTGACTGGTCTTCACTGACAAAAGTACAATCGGTTCCAGTGACATTAGCACACTGTGGTGCAGTTTCACTAGCCGTGGCACGTGAGCATCAGATGATGCAACAGGAGATAGATCGGTTGGGCACACTGTCAGATCGGTTTGGACCACCATCTAACGACTTTAGCCTGTCACGCGAGGCCAACTGATCTGTGTTTATAAGCGAATACGTTGTGTCTAGACCACTATAGGTAAGACGTTTACTATCAAACGATCTAGAGGAAATACGTATATTTGCCGATCTCTATGAGTTCTAGACAGCCAACTGTCTTCACTAATTCATTAGGAGAGCCTTTTGTTATCGGATTTCGGACCTGCAAGACCACTCATTGTTCCATTGTCGAGCCAGTGAATCTCAACCGCGCACGTGTCCATACTGATCTTTTTATTGAGGAGAAACAGTCTCCACCAAGAAATGAACATGTCGACAGACAAAACCCAACACATAACCGGTCAGTGCTATCTCAAAGGTACGGAGCTTGAAATTCCAAAACCCACTATCTCAGCACCTATCTCAAACTGAGCATCAGGAAACATCGAAATGCTGGAACAATCGACCAGTCATACGGGGAGTTACAATTGCCGGAACCATCTAACCATTTGCCAAAAAACACACATGCATTCCTCCTCCCAAGACACAGCCAGTTGTTTGCTGTCAGCTTTAGAAGGCGCCATTTTCTTCCTCCAGCAGTTGTTTCAGCCACTCGGGGTCGCTTTCCAAAGGCTCCAAAGTACTGGCGCTTGGGCAGTTGTTGAATAAAGCGTCGAAGTTGGCACCAGCCAGTTGCGCCTCCATACCATCCCAGTCCATCTCATCCTGACCCGACAATGGGGTTTCGGCACTTGCTTCATTAGGCACAGCAAACGGGGCATTGTTGTAATGCTGTGGCATCACTTCGGGACCGTTATTTGACAGTTGACCGACCGGTTGTTGCAACAGCCATTCATGTTGTTGGTTGAATCCCGCATACCCGTTATTGCTGTATCCGATCGCGGGGCTTTCGACCTTGACCCGTTTTTGGACGGCATATTTGGGCGAGGAATCTTTTGCGGAGCGCTTCGATGTTGCATGAACAGGGGTGGTAGCGTTTCCTTGCAGAACTGCCGTGGCGTTGATTGTCCGCTGTACAAGCCCCCTTGCCTTTTTATCGGTACCCAGAAGACCATCGAGGCCGATCATAATCTCACAAAGCTTCGACGATATGGCTTCCTGTTGCAACCGGACAGCATCGATAGCATGGTTTCTGGCGAAGTTCAGTACCTCGGGGGAAATCGCATGGCCTGACCTGCCAGTTGCGGCGGTCGAGCCGTTGGGATATACTATGGGAGTCATAGCCGCCTCGATCTTGTTGTTGATAAGCTCGACAAATGCTGGACACGAGCCGACATAATCATAGTCAAACAAGGTCTGAAGCTCAGCAGTGACTGGAAACTGAACCATCTGGAGCACCAGTGCATTGCGCTGCGCAAGAGGTAGGTTGCCATGATCGGCATCGTGATCGATGATGAAATCCGCATACTCGCACTGATGGGTGAAGTGGTCCTCCATTTCCGCCATGAACTCTCCAAGTGTCTCAAGTGAGTCCCAAAGCAGCGGTTCTTGTTGACTCTCACCAGCGTCGGCAGGTTGTGTTGCTCGGCGCGCATTGTTCTTGTTTCGATGTTTGAACGTCCTCACTGCCGAAGCGTATGGATTGTTGAATTTGCCCTGCAGCTTGGATGCGCCGTATCGGTCGGTACCGTCCATCATGCAACCGCGCATCTTGGGCGCAAGACACAGCTGTTCAACCTGTTCGGCGGTCATGGTTCTCAAGCGTGCGTCAAGTCGCTTGAACAGGAAGTTAGCTCTGTTGTTGAACGTCTTGCACGTGGCAATGCGTTGCTCTCGGAACTCCTGGATGGCCTGCGGTGTAAGGAGACTGTATATGTCGTTAGCCGTCCAGCGCCATTGGATGAATGCGTCCAGGTATTCACCGCGAAGGTGGTTGGGGTACTTCACGCAAATCTCCTCGAGTGTTGCCGAGTCCGGGATCGGTTCTTCAAAAAGTGGGAAGGATGGTAGTTCGTTGTACACTTTGGGCTGATGGCTGCGTCCCTGCCGAAGCCCTTCTCGGAAGCGACCGAATGCGTTGGACGGCGGCGGCTGCTCTTGTGAGACTGGAGCGTATGGTGTCAGTGCTTGGCCATACTGTTGCTGTTGTTGGTCGTTGCTGTTGTTGAACGCTGCCACTGCATCAAGCGACGATGGATCTATGATGGGTGACGGGAGCTCCACGTACGAGTACTCCGGCAGTGATGGGTAAGTGCTCGACCCCTCGTCCATTTTGCTTGCTGCTTCCTGGATCTTCAGAATCTGGGTGCAGTCCCAGGTACGGTCCCTTCAGTTGCAACGGTACTACAGTCTTGCTTTTGGTAAGTGGAAGTCTCTATTCCTTTTCCAAAGTACAGGGCAAGAGAGCAAGTCCAGCTTGCGCGTAGCTTAGGAAAGGAATAGGAAAAGCAGGAGTGGAGGAGCGTAGATGGGTGTTTGGAGCATACTGTCTACTGTCTACGAAACGAATCTGCCTTTTTATGAAGAGGCGGCCTCCTGCCTTGCAAGTTGCAATCACATTACTACCCATCGAGGCAGTAAGCCATGTCTCATATCTGCTTGTTCGTCTCGGTCAGTTCGATACTGCCTCGTGAAAGAGCCGCCCGCTGCCTCATACTCTGCGGACAAAGAGGATTGTACTCGAACTCGAGGCTATGTGTTGAGGCAGTGGTACTTCGGTTGCTGGGAGTCGGTGCTCATACTGGAGCTCAATCGCAGTCTCGAGACATGCCCTTCGACCTTCGGCCGCGAATACTGATTTCCACCACCATATTTGAGGGCTACTGACACTGACAGGCCGCTGGCATGACCATGTGAGTGGCGTCGCGCATCCCAAACATACCCGACCTCGTGTCTCGCATTATACTCATATCTCACTAGTCGATATATGCGCAAAGATCTCAGGCTCGGTTTCGAACAATGACAATGGCATGCATAAAGGAGGAACAAAGAACAACTTGTCGGTTAGTTTCAACAATGGTCAAGATGCCAAAAGGGTGAAACACAAAGAAATTGGTATGGTCATATCACAGAATGTATCGTCTCGAACAATGGCTTGGTGCTTCGTCCGCTTGTGCAATCGAGTTCAAGGTCCCAACTTCCAAGGTCTACTGACTCGTGGAACCGTAGGCATCTACTTATCCGCTTCTCTACCTGCATGATAATGAGCCCGGCAATTGCAGAAGAGTCTCAAGTAGTTGCAGCGTTGTAGCACGAAGCGCAGGCTCGTATAGGTACTTAGGAACCGAACTGCTTACATGGCCGCAAGCTGCGCTTGCATGTACTGCTGCAAACCCCGAGCAACGATTGCACCCGATTGCTGGATGTCATTCAGTTCCCCAATGTAACAAAACCATGGCACATCATTACAGTGCACGGTCTACGGTACTTAACAAGAGGTACATGCTACGGTGCGATGTCGTTGCGAGGGTGGTTTGATGATGAAGTGTTCCCCAAATATTCTTGATGTTGAACAATTTATGTGGAGGAAATTTAGGTACAGGAAAATAAGGGGTCACAGCCTCGCCAAGACCTCATACAAACTGGTGCTGGCAATTGGTGACACGCACGGCGAAGTCCAGAGACTGGACTTGTAAGATCCACCGGGTTGCAAGATGCGATTGTGAGCCCAAGAGATATATCCGCTTGGTTTTTAATCCTGGGAAGTGCATCAGCGTCGCCCCCTTAAGCTCTGCGAAAGCAAGGACGCGAGATTAATTTGGCTTCACGGATGTGCAGTGCAGATCGAAGACGGTTTCTGAGAACAGTCCGGCTGGCGCTTTAGCCCCTACCTGGTATGAAGCAGCTAGGAGGAATCGTCAACTCGGTTCTTCCTCGAAAAATTGCTTTGCCATTCCACACCCGCAGTTCAAAACAACACCGTGGAAGCGGAGAATCAAAGAAACCACGGCCGGCGCGCATAAAAGCCTCGAACATTAGAAGTCCGCGGAAGTAATAACTGCTATTACCTGCTTGGAGTGAATCCTTCGTAAGCACTGCAGAGTATGGGCGACGAACAAGTAGGCGGAATGTGTAGACACATAGATGCAACTCAGCATCATGCAGGGCAGCCAGAATAGAAATGCCCGCTTGTGTGCCCCAGGAGCTTCAGCTTGATCACAACACCAGTATAGTGACAAAAGATGTAGGTTCCATATAGGTACTTAGCTTTAGGCAGACCTTTATCTGTCTACCGCCCTCGGTTTCAACACATATATTACACACCCGCAGAATTATCCTCAACAATCGCCACTTCACCACCATCGGGTCTTATGGCCTAGGTGGGTAGGGGATTTGGGATTGGTGCCTAGTTCGAGTCAACAACTAGGTCGGCTATAAAATACTCTCAACCATAATTGTTCGGTCAAAAAACCCTGATGGCATAAAACACCGGGGGTTTTCAGTCACTCATACACCTCCTGTACGACTGGGGCTTGTGAGACCTGTTTTTTGGCCTTTTTTGCTATTTCTGCGCTGATGTACAACTACGGCCGCACGGAAATTTGTGTCAAGGTCTACGCATAGAACGATACAGGCCGGAGAATAGACGAGTCTGTTGATGCTGACATTTGACATTTCTTTTAGTCCGACGCCACTCCAGCTCTACCATGTCGCAGATGCGAGCCTTCTTCGAGTCCGCAGAGTCCCCTTTTGCGCTTCGGTGAGCTCGGCCGTGAAGAACAAATCAGCTATTCATGAGGTTCCGACACCTCTTGATCAGGTGACATGAACGGAAGAGTGTCATTTGCAACGACAACTCTCACCAACGGGATGTCCGCGGAGACCGTGTCTTCCACTCCTCGCGGCAAGATAGGACATGGCTCTCTCGGAGGTCGAATTGTCTGCGCTCTGTCGCTCACCGATGTCCTCTCGGCTCCTGGAGCTAGTTGTGGAGACTGGTTGAGGGATGACAGTCATTTGCCATGTCTTGGGTCGCAGCGGTGCCGCTATGTTCGGTGTGGCAACGAATCCCGCTCACAAGGCAGGGGAAGTTCGAAGCTCGGTATACTGTTTGTGTTATCTGAAGAATAGTGTCAAACCGTTGCTGGTACGGCTGGGATATAGACGATCTATGAGTGCTGAGGACATTCTTATGTCAAGTTCGTCCGAACCGATATAGCTATGATGAAAGCTCGTCAACGATGCATATGACCGTGGAAGAAATGGAGGCATGGCAACGAAATTATAATTTTTTGGTACAAGGACAGACGGAGGAAGAGATAGCTGTGAAGCTCCAGAGAGCTCAAGCAGACAGCAAGAGTGAGAAGAACGATAGCAGAAATGGCGGAACAACACATGGCGGGAATCAAAGACGACACCGTCGGTACAGTCCAGAATTGATTTTGGATCCAAGTAAACATTCGAATTCGGAATTAGCTCAATACTGACCGCAGTATAGAGGTTCGCACTGACGAAGCTACGAAGAATGACTTCCCTCCGAACCGCGACCAAGGTTTGGGGGCCTTCAATGTCGCCAGGCAGGACATCAATCGAGCCCAAGAACCGCTACAAGACTGGAGGCCAGCTTTTTCCACAGCAAGTCGCAGATACCGTGGCTGATACCCCAACCAGGAGGGCGATGACATGTTGCAGGGCTTTCTCATGGTCTCATGACTTGTCTGGAACAGCATCTGAATTTTCCCAACTCCGAACTCAGGCCAGCAATCGCTCCTAAATGAGACATTGGGGGCAAAACAAGCCGTGTGTGAACTGCTGCCGTTAGCTCCGAGACCTGGTTAGGACACTAGCGGCCGGCATGGTATCAGGCCTTTGTTGTTCCATGCTCGATCAGGGATCTCGGTCAGCTTCGAAGGAAATCGCGAGGTCATCATGCTTCGGATAACCGGGTCCTGCCGTATGACATGGCAGGTCTTCACGAGAGACGGGCGGACTTTGAGCGGCGAGATACTCATAACAGCGTCGCCAATGAGCAAGGACTAAGGGTTCTGAGGAAGGAAAGATCGGTCCGCACACAGGCGAAAGCCTCGTCGCATAGCATGGCAGGCTGATCAGTCGTGGGGTGACTCAAGATTTCCCCAGGATTGCGAACTGAGGCGGACGGCAAGGTTAGCACTCGATCATCAAAGAATCGTGGTGGAGAACATAAACCGCGCTCATTGGTGGAGCCATAGTGGGCGCACCAGGTGCATCACGTGGTACGACTCATGGTTACTAATCCGGATCGGGGTTAACGGCTCGTTTCCCGGACTCCGAGAGCTCGTTGATATGTCGACGGTCCCTATTGGCTTACAATCGCGACCTGCGGGATCGCAAGCCGCATTCGAGGACATTGCACGAAGTCCACGGTTCATGAAGGCGGAAGTTTCCATCTCAGCTTCGCGGAGCTATTGTAAAATCCGTTGCCGTTGCGTAGATCGTGACTCAACCTCGTCGAGGTTGTCATTATAAAGGGTGTGGCCTCTGTTGGTTTGTGCCGGCAGCTATAAGCACACCATCCCCCAACCCAGCCCCGCACCATTCAGCGAAAGGCCATCAGCTATTTCCCTCGGCAGCCTATAGTCATACCCTTACCCAGCATTCCAAGTACAGCGACCTACTGCAAAAATGGAGTACCAGTATCTAGGAAGGTCGGGACTTAAAGTCTCCAAAGTCATTCTGTAAGTTCATCCTCCTGCAACAATCCGTCCGCGGTCTGATGGGAACAAGCGGTGCGATGTCGTATGGCACGCCGGAATGGAAGGGCTGGGTTCTTAACGAAGAGGAATCGTTGCCTTTGCTTGAATATGCGTACAAGGTCGGTATTCGGACATGGGACACGGCAGATGTCTATTCCAATGGCCGCTCCGAGGCAATCATTGGGAAGGCTATCAAGAAGTACAACATCCCACGAGAACGCCTTGTTATTCTCAGCAAGTGCTATTTTGGCGTCACTCCGGATGCCCTTGAGAGATATATCAGCGCCAACACAGCCAATGAAGGCGACTTGCTGAACCAAGTCGGCCTTAGCCGAAAGCATATCTTGGATGCAGTCGACAAGAGCGTCGCCCGTTTGGGAACTTACATTGACGTCCTTCAGATTCACCGTCTTGATCGGTCTGTTCCGCGAGAGGAGATTATGAGGGCGCTGAACGATGTTGTTGAGTCGGGCAAAGTCCGGTATATCGGCGCGTCTAGTATGGCGGCCTGGGAGTTTCAGGAACTGCAAAACATTGCCGACCGCCATGGATGGCACAAGTTTATCTCCATGCAGAACTACTACAACTTGCTGTACCGCGAAGAGGAGAACGAGATGATCCCCTACTGCAATCATACTGGTGTGGGCTTGATTCCTTGGTCTCCTGTGGCTCGTGGAGCTTTGGCCCGTCCTTGGAATAGCCGGGACAGCCTGAGAGAAAAGACCGACAACTTTCTGCAAGATTTGGTTCGCTCTCGGGATGACAAGGTGGACGAGGAGATTGTGGGCCGCGTCGAGCAAGTTGCCAAGAAGCTGGGGAAGAGCATGGCTCAGATTGCCATTGCGTGGGCTCTCAGCAAGAAGGATGTGAGTCCCATCGTGGGGTTGAACAAGAAGGAGAGGATAGATGAAGCCGTCGAGGCTTGCAAGATCAAGTTGAGTGAGGAGGACATTAAGTTCCTGGAGGAGCCCTACCAACCGAAGAGACGGCAAGGTTACTGATTCAAATGGTATGGAAAGAGTCGTGACAGTGCTAGGTCAATGAGGAGATGCAAAAGACATATGACGGCCGCTTTCAACCCAGAAAAGTCCTAGTAATCTTCTTGTTCTCCCAAATCCTTCAAACGGAGAGCATAATGCTTTTGTGCAAGTCGGAAGACAAACCATATGCCAGTGCAGCCTCACGATATGACAGATCGGCTGGGTGGTGAGTGGACCATTTGTGCAGAGTCTGTCGCAGTCTCACTGTCGCTTCACTGAGAAGTGCAAGACTGCGGCACTTCGTCCACCCACTGCACACCTTCGACCTCAAACATTCTTCCACAAACACCCAACCTCAATACCCTTTCATACAATCGATCTGCTCTTCCACATCAAAGGCTCTTTCGACTGTCCCTTGACACTGTTCAACTTGCATCTCCCCTTTTCCTGATAGTGGCGCTGCCTCAAGGCGCTTCCCACTGTCGCAACTTGCTCACTTCAACCTCCCCTATCCTCATAACCGATCCGCAACTCGATTCCACCTCTCTCCCTTGTTTGTGGGTTACCGCTTTTCTCTTCCCGAGCAAAGCCCCTTTGACTGCTAGCTGACCGATTCATTCAGCATCTCCCCTTTTCCAGAGAGGCGTCGCACTCAGGGCACTTCCACTGACGCAACTCTCTTACTCTAAACTGGCACTCTTCTAACTACTGATCTGCAACTGGAATCAACCACTGTCCTACTTTGTGAGTTACTGGCCTTCCTCTTTCGTATTAAAGATCCTTTCGCATATTAGTTAACCGATTCATTTAGCATCTCCAGCTCCCCTAACGGTAGTGTCGCAGTCAAAGCTCTTCCACTACCGCGCCTTTCTCACTTGAACTTTAACCTCTTCTACCCAACCGATCCGCAATCGAATCTCCCACCTCTTCCTCTCGGTAAGCTTCTTTCAAATCAAAGACTCTTTGGACCGTCACTTAACGTTATTCATCTAGTATCTTCCCTTTCCTGGTAGCGGTGTCGCACCCAAGGTGCTACCGCTATTGCAACTTTCTCACTTCAGCCTTCAACTGTCGCAACAGTCAAATTTTCAACCTCACACTGCACGACTATCAGACTTGTTATCCTTTACCCTTGGCTTCCTCTTCAAGCCTTCTCCTTTACTCTAACTTGAACTAATCCTCACTGTCGCGTCTCAGATGATGGATAAACCAGGCCCCTCAGCAGGCCCAGAGCCAGACCGAAACATCGGCGACAGCAAAGATACCGCCACTACCATGGAAGACCAAAATTCTGGCAGCCATTCAGTCCCTGCCCACTACTCCGGGGAGGCCGAGGATGCAGATAGGTTGGCGAGGTACCTGGCAGCTGGCGGGCCCTGTTTTGTAGGCAAATGCCAACAGCAGGCCAAGCTGACCCACCCATTTCCCGGCATGCACTTCGCAATCGATATGCCGGCGGACAAGGACATTTTCAATCTCGAGGCGGACATGCCAGAGCCGTCGGTCAAGGTCAAGCCGTTCACGTCCTTTGGGCAAGGCGACGATGAGCCCGACTTGACTGCGGCGGTCCGGAGCAGCAAGACACAACCGGGGGTGTCAGCAATCTGGGGTCCCGACACATTCGTGACGACCAGCCCCGAGGTCAAGGAGATCGTCAAGGAATACATCAAGGAAATCGACGAGCAAGGGAGGGCAATTCGACGAAAGATTTGCAAAAATTTGCTCAGGAACATCAAAGAGAAGAAAAAGACCAAGACGGAAGAGGATGGCGAGGAAGAGCAGAAGACTCGTCAGACAGATCCAAGTTCTGTCGCAACAAGTGAGGTGGGCCGTGGAACCTCCAGCGGAGCACAGGAGAACGACAATGGAGACAACGAGACATCATCCACAGTCTACACTTCGCAAGCTGGCACTGAAGTCACAGATGGAGCTGCACAGCTCATCCGACCGCCTCCGCCAACACCACCGGACACTGTCTTCCACTCCGCTTTGTCTATGCCTACGCTGCCCGCCTTGCATCAGAACTCAGATCCCGGCTTGATCGAATTCTATCGCGTCAAACGGGCGCAGAACCCTGTGGTCTTTGATGCCGAGACTGAAGCCATCAAGCAAAGACTGGTCGCAGCCAAAATTGCCCGCGGAGGAAGCACTCAGTTGCTCACAAACGAATACACTGTCGAATTGGCCAGCCGGGAAGATGCTGCCACCGCCGAGCGATGGGCAACCGGAAGACATCCAAGCTTGCTAAGTGCAGAGACCTCGCCGCAGGGCATGTCGCCGAGAATCGAATCGCCGGCGGAGGAGTTTGGAAGTGATGGAGCCTCGTTTATGGACACTGCCAATGGTCGTCTTCCCGGACCAGCCATACCGGAGGCGGTTGAAAGTGGCGAAAGAGAGCAGACCGCACAATCCTCGGTCGCAGGCCATGCATCCGTGGCGGAAACCAGAGCGCTCTCTCCTGATGAGCAGGATGAGGAGAAGAAAGAATATAAGGACCTTTTCACTCGTCACCCGCACCTCGACCTCGAGGCCCACGCAAGCAAGGTTGACAAAAAGCAAGCGGATAAGGACCTCGCCGCTCGTCTCCGGCGCCTCCACATCTACGCCTACATAAGCATGCGTGACAAAAAGCAAAAAGATAGGGACCGTCCCACTCCTTTCGAGCACGAACATAAGGAGCTTGCTGCTCGTCTCCAGAACGTCGACCTCCCCGCTCACACAACCAAGGGTAACACATTTGGCATGATAGAGCAACAAAGCTTTTTCGAACACCAGGTGACTGCTACCCATGAGAGGCGTATTATCACCGCAGCTGTCAAAATCACCCAGGTCTATGAGGCTGAACGATCTCCTGAGATATCGACTGCAGAGATTCTTACCGCCGTGATGGATGACTTGAAGGGACCTCGACCATTGGTTGACCGTCGTTGTTACTGCATTCCACCGGAAAAAAGAGCTGAGATTCTTGCTCTCCTGGAGGAGTACGGCAGCGAGGACAAGACCGCCACAGACAATAATGTCTGAGGGCGGCTTTTTACTTTGCTCACTCGACACCTCGACATAATGGCTTTTCTCTTTCTGCTTCTTCATCAATGAGCACAACTGGCTTCAGATCCCTAAGCACCGAAATGGGGACAGTGCTGCACCAAGGGTCAGCACTACTGGTTTCCAATCCCTAAGCACTGAAGCGCGAACAGTGTAGCACGCCTGTTTATTTGCTTATGTGCTTTCTTGCTCAACCGCGAACATGTCAGGGAACCGTCAATGAGTGCAACAGAGGACAAAGCGAGCGTGAATTCGCCGCAAATAATGGGAGTGGATGCGTCTGAGAGCATCGGACGAGCTGAGATGAGCTGAGCTGGGGGAGCAAGCAGTAATGCGACGAATGTGCTGGGCTGAGGATGAATGAGCTGTCTGAGGCAGTGTTCCCAACGAACGGGACGGCGATGTAATGTTTAATAATGTGCACAGCGTGCACCCAGGTGGCTCTCGGATTGCTCCAAAATCGCCTCTTCATAGCCACAACAAATAGCTCAATTGATTTTCCATGAATCGCATGAAGCCTCCAGCCCTTAGGCTGTCTGCAGTGTGCAGAAACTATGGTACCGTAGTAGAAAGACGCTGAAGGTTGTTGCCGGATATATATTGTCTGCTACCTACCTGAGGTAAGTAGACCCCAACCCCGGTAGGTACCAGGTATCTATTACAGGTGCAATGCACCCACAGTCTGAGGTGGAAATACGATTGCAGGGTACCTACTAGTAGTGCCCGCTGCCATTAAGGGTTCCATTCTCTGAGTCAATTCCCACTTCCACTTGCAGATGAAATTCTGGTTCGGCTCGTAGTATACGATGAATATTTCTAATATTCCTAAATACTCCTACAGGCAGCTCCGGTTTCAAAAGCATAGCACGAGCTTCAGCTTTGCCTGAGGTCGAATGGGTGATATAATATACAGTGTCCGTCCATGTTGATCCGGCGTAATTGTCGGTTGAGCGGTCGACACTTTCTATTCAGCCACCCAGACGGCAGCCATGCCCCTATTGTTTGCGGAAAGTACGTTAGTAAAGTTGACGCTGACAACAAGCAACAGCGCTGGGAGGACGAGATGAACGCTTGAGCATGATGGTGGATGGATCTCTTGTTCTCGGGCTTCCCCCACGCATATGCGTGTGGGCGTGGATTGCACAACCGACAGGAAGACAACAACGGAGGACGAGCCAATTGATCCAGTAAAACAGGGTACGGAGGGCGATAGAAACAATAGCAGCCAGCTAACGACACATCGAAAGGCAAGGGGACAAACTTACATCCCAGTACCGACACACATGCTGGTAACACCAATCTTCTTGCCTGTCCTCCTCAATTCGGTGAACAAGGTACTGACCTGCCGGGCACCGGTGCAGCCGAGCGGATGACCAAAAGCAATGGCGCCACCCTTGGGATTAACCTTTTCAAAAGGGATGTCGAGCTCCTTGACACACCAGACAGCCTGGCTGGCGAAAGCCTCATTGATCTCGTAGATATCAACGTCGTCTTTGCTGATGCCAGCCTTTTGGAGGGCGACGGGAATGGCCTTCCATGGCCCAATGCCCATGAGCAAAGGCTCAACACCGATGACCGAAGACGCAACAAACTTCCCCAAGATCGGCTGGCCCAACCGCTCGGCAGTGCTTCGTTTCATAAGCAGCACGGCAGCCGCACCATCTGAGACCTGCGACGCGTTGCCAGCATGTATAGACCCGTCCTTTGCAAACGCGGGGCGGATCTTGGATAACGACTCGGCCGTGATGCCGGGTCTGACGCCATCATCTTTGGTCACAGTGACTGTCTTTTCTTCTTCCGTCTTGGGATCCGTGTATTTGACCGTAACCGGGGCGATCTCCTGGTCAAACAGGCCCTCCTGCTGAGCCTTGAGGGCTTTCTGATATGAACTCGCGGCGAATGCGTCCTGTTCGGCGCGGGAGATGTGTCGGTCCTTGGCCATCTGTTCCGAAAGAACCCCCATGGGCACTTTGCAGTTGGCCGCCTCCATGTGGTTCTCGAGCAGATCCGAAAACTCGGTGACAGCTCCCGGTCCGTACTGCGACGACATACTCTCGACTCCAGACCCGATTCCGATCTCAATCATGCCCACTTTGATTGCGTTGGCAATGTCCACGCACGCCTGTAGTCCGCTGGAGCATTGTCGGTTCAGACTCTTGACCGCTGTTGATACCGGGAACCCGGCAACCAACGCCGCAGCACGGTATTCGGTCGCCCCGCCGCCGGGCGCCAGCACGCATCCCGTGGCAATGTCCTCAACCAAGTTCGGGTCGATCTTCGATCGCTCAAGCAGGTTCTTGAGTGTGTATGCGAGCAGGTCTGCCGCCGGCGTGTCCTTGAGGAATCCCTTGCCGCCCTTGGTGAACGGACTCCGGAGCGCGCAGGTGACCACCACATCGTCGGGGGATTTGGACAGAATCGACTGTTTGGAGTCCGAAACAGGTGAGCCCCCGAGGTGCGACGAGACCTGCGTCAGGCGTTCTTGGGCTTTGTTGGGTGCTGAATGATACCAATGCTGTCAGCATTGGAATGGTAGTCTATTGCCACAGCGACGGCTTGCTTACCTTGGGCCATGTTGAAGAGAATGAAATCAGAGGGTATTGTAGCGGGAGGAGAAAGTGTTGAGAATGAAATTCAAACAGTGAGACGAACAAGAGAGAAGAGGACGGTTTTGATGCTCACGAGGCCATGTTATTTCTGATCATGCTGACCTGAGTCTCTACATGTGATACTTTCGAATGTTTGTCCGTGTCACCTACGTGTAACATGGAACCGAGGCATGTGCGTTTCCCGTGCTGACTGATCAGACGCGAGAATGTTGCGTCGCAAGAAAATGACATCATCATCATCATCATCATCATTGTTTACTAAGATTTCTAGGGGTTGGATGCCGAGGTTCAGCTGACGAGCACTCGTGGTATCCTTGATTGATACAGCAGGAGACGTATTCACAAGTGTATCTTGTTATACACATGGCATTCCATATGTAAACCTCTATTAGGCGCCGGCATTCATGAGGCCGGGCTTACGCTCCCACACAGCCAAGGTCAACAGACCGGTGTTTCCGAGATCAGTATGCATCCGAGTTTGAAAAGTCTTGATGGGATTATATCGAATCAGATAAGCGTGGTCTGTTCTAGGGAACATTGTAAACTCCAATACCTAGGTACTACCCATCCATGATCATGCGCCTGGGTATCTATACCTATCTTTTGTTTTGTCCTAACACCAACAACACGCTCATTGCGCTGTGTCGTTGCCCTCTTCCCCAACTCCAGCGCTCTAACCAATCCGTGAAGTCAAACCATATCAGCCATCTATCATTTTCGCAGTCTGTCACTGCAGCCCACATGTCACAACTTATCCTTTTTTCGCCTCGGCGGCCATGCTGACGACTTTGGAGGCCTGCGGATCCTCAGATTATCATCCCCCTTATCCAGCACTTCAGCCAAATACTCGTGACCAAGGTTTGGGCGCCTTCATCCTGACCGACCACCACTTTCTCGGCGGCAATCCCTCACTTGGATGGTGTCTCTTGAAGGACAGTATCGATCCCACGGCGCTTGGTCTGCGAGTCTCCGCGCTTTCCGTGCTTTCAAGGGGGATGTTGAACACCGCGACGCAATGCTGTTTCTTCCACGCGATCAACGCTTGCCTGGTATGGGCTTGTTCGTCATGATCGAGGATATAGTGGCGGAACGGGGAGGCTAGAACAAGAACACAGTCAGAACCAGAAACAAGCTCCATAGCACACCAGGGCCGGATGCCACTTACGATCGAAATTGTTCAAAATGTCACAGATGCTGATCTCTTCCAACCCCCGAATCGTCTCCTGTATAGCTTCAGCACGCACTTTCCGGGTGCGCGAATAGAGCTTCAGGCGATCCTCAACCTCGCTCGGCGAGAGGCCGGGTTCCAGGACAACTCCCAAAGCGAGCGCGTCTTCCAAAGCCATGGCAATCCGCTGGCCGCAATACGGCGGCATGGGATGCGCTGCGTCACCCACCAGGGCTAGCCGGTGGCATTGGAAAGTGGCCAACGGGTCCATGTCCCAGATCGGCTGGTCCAGCAGGTCTCGGTCGCGGATCCTTTGGAGAAGGGCAAAGCATTCTTCGGGAAATCCTTCGGCAAGCCGCATCAGTTTCGTCTTGCTTGCCGGGTCTCTCCAGTCTTTGCTGAGGTTCCGGATCGCCATTCGATCGTCGTACAACAGTTTGATGCAGATGACTTGACCGTCCGATGCTGGATAGACCAGCAGACTCTTGTCTTTATGATGGTAAGCGTGCAGTTGACCGGGTTGCTTGACGAACTGGCATGTCCGCGAGTCGTCTGCCAGCGCCTCGCGCGGGATTTGGGCTCGGAAAACGTGTCGCTTCAACCGAAATCTCTCAGTCTTACCACTGAACACAAAGGACCTGCAAATCGAATGCACGCCGTCCGCACCGATGATCACATCTCCCTGCACTTCAGACCCGTCCACAAAGTAGACGATTCCCTTGGCTGGATCGACTCGATACACGGGGCGCCCGGTATAATACTCGATCTTAGGACAACCGCTTTTGGTCTCTTGGAGAGCGTTCCAGAGTGACGCACACAAGTCTTGGTATGTCGTGTTGTGCCAGGGCTATATGAAAAAAGGTCAGCATTGTCGTCGAGACATTCGTTGCAGAGAGATCACTCACCCAAGTGTGCTCGTCTAGCTCAAACGTGTCGCTTTGGGTGGTGCCATCTTCTTCCATCCGTAATCTGATCAGCTGTTTGTGCATCGGTTAGTGGCAAGACAATGAGCAAGATCTCACAATAGCTACTCACTTCCTGGACTCTGGTTGCACGGACTTGTGCCAAGTCGACACCCAACGCCTGAAGTGCGGATAATGCATTGGGATAGACAGTGATTCCCGCCCCAACGCTGTTGGGAACGCCTGTCTGTTCGTATATCTGATCAGGCACATGTAAGAGGCTATCCCGCGACGATATGGGGAAATGACTTTGTTACCTTGACATGATGTCCCTGTGACCGTAATGCAAGAGCGGTCGCCAGCCCACCGATACTGCCACCCACGATCAAAACCTGCAGGGTCGACATGTCCTTCCCGACACGGCGGCAATGAATGCTTGTTATGTGTTTTCAGCACAATCACACGGAGAATGGTCGAGGGATGATAACACGTGGGTAGTCTCCAAGGCGAACTTAAATTGTGCTGTCGAGGGAGAGTCACGTTATCCAGTGGTCATGCAAGGGGATTGATGTCGATCCTGGAGCAAGGGATATCTTGACAGTCATATAGCACGGTAACGGCTCGTGTTGATTGATGGACAGCGCTATGCGATCCCCAGTGGCTTTACAGAACTCTGCTTCTCAGGATGTGGGTGGCGGTGATGTAAAAACCGAAAACCACTTTCGCAGTGCCCAAACGACCCAAAAAGGGATCATTTCGAGAATAACAAACGTCAAGCCCGCGGCAGTTTTTGGGATCCATACAAGACCTACCAAAGTTCACTAGATAGCGGTGCACAGACGCTGTCCACGCTTACGGGTTTGACTTGGGGGCCGCTCAGACCATCTGCAGTGGTGTCTACCCCTGGAATTCTCGTCTTCGTCATGCTCTCCGCGGAAACCCAATCCCATTATTATTGATAAAAACAGTCCCTGCAACGGTCCTAGAAAGGCTATATCGCTGAAGCGATGCAGCAGTCGAGATACTGGAAATGGTTGTCTCCCGGTTTGGAGCAGTTAAAGGCTGCTCTCGGTGGGATAAGTATTCGGCTTGAGGTACTTTCGCACTGGGTCCGCAGTAGTGACAAATACTGAGCCTATCACGAGAGACTTCGCTTGGGAAATCCATATCGCTGCATTTGGATGGGAAATCGAATAACCTCCATATTTGGCGCAGGATTAAGAGGTCCGCATATCAGGAATCGGGCCTCCTTTCGATCGATCCCGATGACGCAGCACAGGGCTTAGCTCGACAATCCGTGCAGCCGAATCGGAGCTGCACCACTGGAGCCACGAAGATTGTTGTACAACGTTGTAAAGGGTGTGTGCGGGAAAGACCGGCAACGGGCGCCAAGTCGCTTGTTCAGAGACCTTTCGACTGCAGTCTGGGGAAGGTGAAGTCGAGATTCAATCGAGGCCTAGACCAACCTCCTGAATAGTGCGCGCGGTTTGATTCTACTTCTGGCGGATGGGCTGCTTTTCGCACTCCGCTCCTCTCCGGGCGTTGGGAGCCTAACGCAATAATATTGCCACGGGCGGGAGTGTTGACCTGATAGTGGTCTGTGCTCTGGTTATGGGCTGCCACAGACTGGCTCGTTTTATTCTTGGCATGATAAACGGCTCCGTGTACCGTGGCTGAGTACCAGTAATTTGAGATAGCAAAGTCAGATTGTCCGCCATGCGGTTCTTGTCATTGCTGATGATCTGCTGTAAGGATCGGGGTTGCGCCACGTGGGCGGGACAGAAAGCCACCAGCAGGCCTGGCCACTACTACCTAGGCAGTACGGGATTCGTCGAACTGAACCTGACAGGAACGTTCGATGTCTGGCAGTACTTGTAGCAAGGATCTGTCGCCAACCAAGGTGGCCCCGGAAAAGCCCAAACGGCGTGGAATGTACTCGGTCGCCCGTCCGGTGATGTGGAGAAACGGTTGGCCGAGAGAGTTGAGTCGGACGCTATTTGAACTCAAGCTGTGAGGTTGCAACACATGGGACCAAGCGTGCATACTTTCACCCGTTTCGCACGGGCGCTCCAAGCACATGTTCTGGGTTTATTGTTATTGTCGACGACTCAACCCCTTCGTGAGCGAGTCCAAATCAAGCTGTTACTTCGGACAAGGTACCTGTACTCGTCTCACCCCATTGTGCTCGCTTCAGTCCTTCAGTTCCAGTCTTGTTGCTCGTACCAGAGCCAGCTGCTCCAAAAATCTCTCAGTGCTGTCCATTAGTACCACGCTGCTCCACTTCAATGAGATCACGACTTGAATGAGGGGGTTTGCTGCTTGAGAGATCAATAGCCATACCAGCGGCCGAATCTGCCACTTTCGACCTTTTGCGCGGGGTGCTAACCATACGTTTGATATTGACGCCAGAAGGTGACAGGGCAAGCGCCCCAGTGCTTGGAAGATCCACAACATCACCAACCTCTAACGCCTTCGCAGAATGTCATAGGGCCATGTTGAACGGTACAAAAACACCTCTCCATGTTCTTGAGTACGGGAAAGATGAATTATCCCGGCCAGTAGCCTGCATGTACAACGGCAGGAACAATCAGCCGTACGTGTTCGGGTGGTCAGATTATACACGCACGTCTGAATCATGCTGGATCCAGCTCCAGCAACTTCTAGACCAAGTAGAAACAAGAACGGAAACCTCCGCGAAATACCTGTGCTATACTTGATAAGCCTTGAGTCCGTATGTCCATGATCCAACTGCTTCACGGAACATCCGGAAGCCATATCCTGTTCCTCAAATCGTCCTGAGCAGGATGCATTTCCCGGTCTGGCCTAGCTGTTCGTAGGCATGCACTTTCGGTTGACCTCTCGTGCACTTGGAAGGGATGCCGAGGTTATTCTTGGTGTTTCTTCAGAGTGAATGGGTGTACCTTCTGGACCTGACAGAGCTGCTTATTGTCCATCGATAACATGGGGACCAACCTTGACTGAGGGAGGACAGTACGACAGGCGTGCTCTGAGAAGATGTGCGTTGTAATGCGTCAGGCATGGTAGCCTCGGCATTGTGAACATTATTGGCATAGGAGATGATCTGCGGGCGGTGCTCCAGAACTGGTTGTATTCGTCTTCAAATTGAAGAGACTGTAATTCGAGCATACAAAGGACTATGAAAACTGAAAACTGCCAGTGTCCACGATAGCATGGACGAAGTTCAAGACAAGGCTCTTGGCCGCGCCAAAAACTGCCGAATTCGGAGCTCGGTACATAAATACAGATGTTTGGCCAAGATGAGTAGAAACTGCTCGCGCCTGACCCCGGATCAGGTCGAGGGTGACGCCGCCCTGTGCTCAACCCCGGCTCCACTGATCGCCTACCACACTGCAGCGTCCGTCGTGGCACAGAGTCTGTCCAATGAAATCCGTCTAAAGCAGCATCGAGAGATGCACACTTCTGGTCTGACACGCCCACCCCAAAACCCAGGGCGCACTTTACCTAGGGTAGTCACAAGAGTAGTGCATAACCGTGCCAAGGACCTCGTCAGGGGGACCCACCCCTCCTTCCGAGTTTGGCGGCCGCGTTTACGCGGCGCCACACTTGCTCTACGAGCAAGTGCCTGTCGGCAACTGCGTCAGGTTACCAAGTACGTCGCGTTTCGTAGATTCACGCGTCTATCGACGTCGACGTCGATAACGTTATTAATAACGCTTAGATATACTTATTTATTCTTCTTAATGCTCCTATAGGGTCTCGAGGGAAAAGTTATATAGTAAATTGGGCGGTACTTATCCCTCCGTCGAGCTCTACGTATATTCTAGAGAGGTTGCCTCTATAGCCTCCTCTTAAAGTCTTATACTTGCTCTATTACGTTATCTCTCTTCCTAGCGCTCTAACCGGCGTTATTCACGTTACTCTCGACGCTATTATACTTACTCTTTACGCTCTTATATTCGTTATTAACGCTTACGCTTACGTGCGGCAATCTCAGCGCGTTTCTCCTCCTATTAACGCAGTTTCTTAAGCCTCTAGGTCTCGCGCTCGATAATATGTTATACCTTCTCGTATTTACTCTCTTGCCGCAACTCGATATACGTCTATACGTCTACTACTATAATTACGCCTTTAGCGACATATCTCTATAACTAATCTCGGGACTTTCGAGACTCTCGGTAGTTATAGATACGCTATAGATCGCGAACTACGTTCGTATCTAAAATAACGAGCGCCTCGGCGCCTTTGAGGAATGAATTAAGCGAGTCGCGTGCGGTAGGCGTTATCTTAGTCTATTTAACTGCCTCTTTGAGGGTTTCATAGGCAACGTAGAAGGATCGAGGCTTATAAGGAGTAGTAAGTGTCACGGAACAAGGCCCAGATGTGGTCACATGACTAGCATATGATCACTTGGCACGTGACCTGGCTAGCGCTAAGCCCCATTTATTAATTAGGCTTGGCGCGCCCGCGAGCCTCGGTCTAGTACCTCTACTAACCGAGCGCTCTTAACTCTCTTATAGTCCTTCGTATAATAATTTACTCTTTTAAAACGCCTCTCTTGCTCGAGCCGTAAGATTTTATTATACTACTCTTTACCCTCGCTCTAGCTAGTTAAACTATCTAAAGCGTAGTATCTTTTTTCTCTTTTCTTATCTTACTATAGAAGTATAAGACTTAAGGAGATCCTTCTAATTAGCGCCGCCTATAAATTAGGATCGAGACTAAGTCTACCCCTTCTATATTAAGACCTCTATTATATCTCGTCGTAAGAGACTCTTAAGATCGACTACGCCGTAAACTCGAGTCCTCTCGATATTATCTATAACGTACTCTTATTAACCTTACTCTCGTTAGAGTTCTTAAAGATCGACTTATCGTAAACTAAGAACCCTCTAGACTACGATTAACTCTTAAGACCTACTAATTCGACTAGAACTCTTAAGATCGGCCGTACCGTAAACTCGAGTCGTAGCTATTTAACTAGTCTTAATCTTCTATATACTACCTCGATCGAACCTTTCTACTCGAACCTTCTTTAGTTTAGTCGAGTAGAATTAGGAAAAGAATTAAGTAAGAGATTAGATTATATATATTAAGTTAATAAGATAGCGAATAAAGGTAAAGACCGAACTAGTTCGGCTAGTTATACTTCTAGACTATTATAGTTAACTATTCGGGCTACCTAGAGTACTTAAGGCACCTAAGCTACGCTAAGTACTTAATCGATTTCGACTACTACTAGTATGCCTATTACTTCTAGTTATTACCCGTCGCTATTAAACCTATCTTTATTATCTATAGGATAGTCCTCTCTATATTATATCGAAGACGACTATAATAAAACCTTTATCGAAGATTAGGCTAAGGTAGAGTTTAACCCTAATATTACTTACGCCCTAGAAGAACTCGAAGAGAAACTAGTAAGAGACGAATAACTATAATATATCGTTATCTATACTAGATCCGAAGGCTTCTCGCTAGCTCTCTTTCTTAAATAAGGTCTTACTAAGGATAATCGATTAATATACGTCGAGAAGAATTTTCCTATATATATTAAACTCGTCAACGATCTAATATTTATAGATTAGTACTAACTCGCTAAATTTATTAAAGTCTAGAATCTTTACTCTAAGATCGTCTTTATCTATATACGACGTCTAATTAGGAAGTATATCTAAACTCGGGATAACTTCCGGAATACTAAAGTTTCGCTTAAAGTATAACGATAATAAGCTAGGGAACTTAAGCTAGAGTTAAAAAAGCTACGTAGATAAATAATATAGAAGAACTAAGGTCTAGAAGTAGAATACTTATAATAGATAATCTAGCTTACTAAGTAGCGTAACCTCTTAAACGCTTTCGAAGAAAATTAACGATAATTTGTTTAATACGTATAAGAATAGCGTAATAAGATTATCCGCCGAGACACTCGGGTTAAAGCCCTAGAAGAAGAACTAAGAATCTTATAATAGTCTTAGCCTCGGCAAACTACTTCTTAAGCTACGATAGCTATTCCCTAGGTATTAATACTTTCTTAAATACTTATTTCTAGTAAGACTCCGCCTCGTATTACTTCGAGTAATAATCGACGTAGTAAACGTTCTTCTATATATTAGACTACTACTACCTTTAGAACTAATATTATCGTATCTTCTTCTATCTATCGTATTAAGATTTCTAATCTCGAGAAATTTAATAGTAATAAGAAAAAGTATAAAGTATAGAAGTCTAAAATAATATATAAGCTTAACTCCGAGAAGAACTACTTCGACCGAGTAGAATCGATCGCTATAGTAGAATATATTATCTTACGCTTAAAAGAGTTTACCTACGAAGTAGTCCGTAAAGAGTTACTAGCCTTCGCTTCTTCTTAGAAAGTCTTCTAGTCCGGTCGAGATATCTAGATAGCTTTAGACTAGCACTTCGAAGATCCTAATAAGGAATAGACTACCTAGGTAAAGTATGACCTATTAAAGTAAGGCGCTAACGAATTATTTAATAACTTTCTATCTAAATTTCGTATTATTACTATTCGGCTTAACTCTACGGAAACTACCCGTATATACGACTTAATAAGGAAATTAAATCTACGCCTATAGCGACGTATTAATAATAGCATCCCGTACAATACTCTTCGTAATCTAATCTAGAAATATCCTTATTAAGAACGAGTATTTATAAACGAGACGCTCTAGAAATCGTTTAATAATTATTATACTACGAAGACTACCTCTAGTAATAAAGTAGCTAAACGTACTACTATTATAATCTTCTCTATAACTATAAAGAAAGAAACTAAATTTAAGGTTCTAATATTAGTATATCTATAGAGCTTACTAAAACTTAACCCGAAACTTAAACGTTAATTAAGAGATAAGAATAAATATTATAGATATTAGCGTATAGAATATCGCCCTAATAATCCTAACTATAAGTATAATAAGTAGAAGACTACTAATGCTTTCTCGATAGCGCTTTAGCTTAACTCTATACTCCTAGAAGATAATATATTAATAGAGTCGTCCGAATCCGAGGATAATAACTTTTCCGAGCCGGAAAATACCTAGTCCTAAATTAACTTCGCTCTATTAATTTAGGATATATTAAACCTCCCCCTAAGCGTAATAAACTAACTCTATCTACCCTTACTATTATAGATAAATATAATTATCTTATACTAGACTACACAATTAAGGTACTTAACTACACTACAAGCTATAAAGTAATGCTAGATACTGGCGCCACGGCTACCTTTATTAGTAAACGATTCGTTAGGAAGTACCACTTACCATAACGATAACTAAAGTAACCCCGCGAACTACAGTTAGCTAACGGACGGAAAGATTTCATTATATACGTAGTGGAGATCGAAATAGTAATTAGATAACACTACGAGAAACTATAGTACTACGTGGCTCCTAAGCTAAGTTACTCTCTTATACTTAGACTCCCTTAGATAACGAAACACTCTATATAACCTAACTTTACTATACGCTCTATAACGTTCTCTCCCGAGAAATATAAGTCGTATCTACCCTATCGTACACTAATTACTATATCTAGTTTAAGGGCACCTATTACGCGTCTACCTAATGCTTAGATCGATAAAATCGATATCGCTGCTATAAGTCTAACGGAATTCTATAACTTACTCGTCGATAAAAACGTTAAGAAAGTTATAATTATATTCCCTACTTAGGACTCCTAAAGTGCTCTAAGTACGAACGAGGTCTTCTAAGCGCTAGGTCTCTCGTCGCTAGCGTATTATACGATAAGCTAAGTAGACTATAATAGATTTATAACCGGTAAGGAATACGTAGATCCTAAGGATAAGGTACTCCTAGACTACTATAATTACCTCGATATCTTTAAGAAATCTAGAGCGAACGAGCTTCCTCTATATCGTTTTAGACTCGACTACGAGATTAAACTAATTTATAACGATTAGTATAAGTATCCCTATAAGAAAATATATAGAATATCTTAATAGAAACTTACCGCCGCGAAGAAGTATCTCGACGAAAATCTAGCTAAAGACTTTATTCGTCTATCTTTATCTTCTATTACCTCCCTAGTTATTTTAGTAAAGAAACCCGAAGGAGGACTCCGGTTCTATATCGATTATCGAGCTCTAAACGCTATTACTATTAAAAATCGATATTCTATTCCTTATATTAAAGAGACTCTAGATAAGTTATATAAAGCTCGATATTATACTAAATTCGATATAATCTTAGTCTTTAACC